GCTGATTTTCTATTTCATTAGCCTTTGCTCTGTTTGCAAAAATATCCTCATCTTCTGGTCCTTCTAATCCCTCTTTCAACCACTCAGGCTCTTCTAAACTATCAGATGTAGCATCACCGTACTCATCTTCATTTTCAGGCTGTTTTTCAACTTCATCTTGCTTTTCTACAGCTTTTTCACCTTTTTCCTTTGCTGAATTAGACTCTGCTTTGCTGTGCTTTTTGTTTCCAGTTAGCTTGGTCTGTTTTCTCACTGACTTCTTGACTATCTGTTTCCCCTTTTTGTTTGCTAACTTTTTTGGGGTATCTTTATCAGATGCCACATTTTGTGCTCCACTATGTGGGGCATCAGTGGGGGCACTTTTACCATGACTTTTTACTCCAACTGAAGCAATTTCACTAGGCATTTCATCACGCAATTCAGCATATATGTTGATAACATCTACTCCTTCATGTGCAGTTAACATTAACTCTATTTCTTTATCTCCTTTAATTTCAGCTGCTCCAACATACAACCCACAATTTGGTATTTCAAAATATAGGTTCACATTCGAGGCATCACCATACCTACTATACAATTTACACAACATATCCCTGGACAATTTTCTTGTCTCACAATTTTTAAATATGGCTACATCGTTACCAGTATAGACAGTTTCTGGTTCCCATATGAATATACCACCGAAATGCAATTTTATAGTAATTCTTTTTGAAGTTGTCATTTTTTTCAAAGCCTGCATTAGAAATAGTGAAACACATGATAAGAAAAAAAAACACAATCTGATTAAGAAAAGGACATTTAATAGATTACACACTTCAATGAAAACACATGATTACAAAAAAATACAATCTGATTAAGAAAAGGACATATTGCATATCGCATACTTCCATGGACCACATGACGGCCAATAAGCCGACAAGCAAAAATTATTCAATGTCCAAATTGTCAAAACTTTATCAGCAGCCAAATCACTCTATATTATTGAAAATCAAGCCACCCACATTTGACCCAAATCTGACACTAATCAACAAATCTCAAACTAACAAAGTCGTATTCTACCCATGTTTAGTTGAAATTCCGGTGATTTTAGAACTCCCGAATGCAATTTTCTTTACCCTAATCTTAATGCATAAATTCAATTCTAGTCGATAAAATACTCTATGCTTAAATATGATAATACAGATTGTCCCAAAGCAGCAAAATTTTAAATTAATCAACGCTTAAGCAAAATAATCACTGATTTATTAACTTTCCAATGCCCGCTAGTTTCTGTTCAAAAACCATGCAAGTGCATCTTATATGCTAAAATGATGTCAAAAAACTTACCAGATGCAACAACAGCTTTCGTGATGCTCTTTCACAGCTACTTTTTGGTCTTCAATGGTAGATCTTTGTGGGTTAAATTTCTCTCCTTCATTCGGTGGTCATGTTTTTCTCTCCTTTTCTCACGACAAAGACAGAACAAGGAAGAATCTGACTCATCTGCTTCCTTTTTGTATTTATATTAGGGTAATTTGGACATTTTGCCCACGAATCGTTACGGTGGGTGCTTTCCGTCTATTTGCCAGTTCAACCCAAACCATAGGGGGTTTATGTATAGCTTTTTGAACGATGGGGGGGTTATGTGGTTTTTGCGAAAACCACAAGGGGCTAAAATGTAATTTGCCCATTATTAATTGATTCACCTAAAAGACAAATATAGGCCTGTTTGGAACCTGAGTTTTTAGAGAGTTTGTCTAAAACTTTACTGTAGTACACTGCAGAAGTTTCTAAAAAAATTTTATAGAAACTTTTGTAAGGTGAAAAATTTTGTAGAAGTTTTTGTAAGGTAAAAACTTTTTTTTCCTTTTCTTTTTCTCTTTCTCTTTCTTTTTCTTTCTTTCCTTTTTCTTTTCTTTCCTTTCTTCTTCTTCTTCTTCCTTACCTCTTCCCCTTCCCCGTTACCTCCCAGCAGCAACTCCCTTTCCCCCTTCCCCCGCCATCCCTCTGCCCTCATTTTCCCCCTTCCCCCACCCACTGCCCACCCCCCGCCACCCCCTCTGCCCTCCCTTTCCCCCCCCCTAGCCCACTGCCCACCCCCCGCCACCCCTCAGCCCTCCCTTTCCCCCACCCCCTGCCCACTGCCCTTCCCCTTTCCCTCTTCCCGCCCACTACCCTTCCCCACCACCCCTCTGCCCTCCTTTTTCCCCCTTCCCCGCCACCCCTCTGCCCTCCCTTTCCCTCTTCCCCCACCCACTGCCCTTCCCCGTCACCCCTCTGCCCTCCCTTTCCCCTGCCCCCTGCCCACTGCCCTCCCTCGTCACCCCTCTGCCCTCCCTTTCCCTCGCCTCCTCCCACTGCCCTTCCCCGTCACCCCTCTGCCCCCGCCATCCCTCTGCCCTCCCTTTCCCCTTCTCCTCCCCTCCGCCCTTCCCCTGCAGCCCAGTCGCACCAGATGTTCTGGCAGCCCAGGCTCAGCCTTTCCTTTGCTCCATAGCGCACCAGACGCAGCCCAAACTCGTGACCCAGATTATTTGCACGCGCGGAGTGGGGGACGAAACGGCGGCGGTGGTGGGTTGGGATGGGGGAGGAAGAAGGAAAAAAGAAAAGGGAATTTTTTATGGTGTGTTTTGGGTATGTTGAAGTGTGTAGGGCAAAAAATTTTGAGAAGTTTTTTGGGATTCCTGTAGCAAAAGTTGTTAAAAAACTAGTAGGTAAAAAACTTGCCCAAAAAACTGGATTCCAAACAGGCCCATAGTCTAATAGAAACAGCTTACTACTCTGGGTAACCTAACATGCAAGTGTCAAAGTCTCATTTCAACTAGTAGAATATAGAAAGTTGTAACTTTTTACACTCTCTTGCAGTTAAAATTCATAATCGTAGAGACCCACAATACATAACCCATAATCCAAAAGGACCAAAACATAGACCTAGAAAAACAGCCTTGTTTGGATTGGGATTTTTCTTCAAAAATTTTTTACATATTTTGTGAACATAATTTTTAATCACTTTTTTATCTCATACATATCAAATTGATACAATATATATATACATATATATATATATATATATTTATAAAAGTTATAGAAAATAGCAATCCAAACAGACTAGCGAAAAGTAAATTTCAAATTACTCGCAATACGTGTCTTGATTAGAATTCCTTCCTTTCAGCCTACTACGGTTTGGGCCTGGATTTAGCACTATCTCAGTTAAATAGGAACAGTCATAGTTTAATAATTCCAGTCGAAATCCAGACATTTACCTTCTAACCTATAAAAGCAAAATTTAATAATTTCAGCCCAAATAATGTCAAAATTTGATGAAACTGTTAAAGTCTTCTTGTTCCTATTAAAGTTGCATAGAAGTAAATCCAGGCCCAAACCATAGTAGGCCTACATGAAGGAATTCTAATCAAGCCACATATTGTGGGCAATTCTGCGCATGCCTTTTACGTCTATATGGAAATTTTTTGGTGCATTTAGATTTTGGGTTTTCTACAATTATGCGTTTTTCTTTTTTGATCATTACAATTGTGAGTTTTAATTGCAAGAGACAATAATGTAAAAGGTTGCATCTTACCATATTTGTTTGTATACATAACGCGCGGGTGTTGGGTTTGGTATTAAAATATTTTGTCATTATTCGTTATTCCTATTTCGCCCTTGCATGATGAAGCACTACACAATAATCTCAAGTTCCATACCCCTATGTTTAGGCAACTACCTTGTAACCATCTCAACTTCTATATCCCCAGATTTGGGCAACTGCTGCGACCATACTCTGCTTATCTAAGCTTTCCTGGATTGTCATCTTCAATTTGAAATAAAAAAAAAAACAAAAAAAAATTAGCATCAGAAAAGATTAATACAAAACTGGTTTTCGTGGTTTCAAGGAGAACACAAACCGACTATGGAGCAAAGTTCATTCTTTGCTGTCAATTCTAGGATGCAATTTCGTGGTTTCCCACGTATGTATGTATGTATGTATGGGTACTTTGTTTTTATTACAATTTCCTTTTGCACACTTCAATATTACTCGCTAAGTTTTCGAGCCGCATGTGTTTGTTAACTTGAGGATGTTTAGTTTAATTGTGGGATATTGGTTGGCTTGGTGAATTTTAATATTCTGTACTTCACAGAGAATTCCTCTCTTGCGCATCTTTTTTCCTTTTTTTTTTTTTATATATAAATTTGAAAATGTACTGTTGAATAGTGTGTGCATCACATGCGTATTTCTTGAACCATCGTTCATAAAGAATGAGCCTTTAAAAGGATCTGTATTATTAGGATATCATTTTTTTTTTGTGTATCATATTTTACAAAATGTGCGTGCATTGAGTGTGTCTCGACTACTAGTACATATAATTGCTAAAACAACAATATTAAATACTAATACAATAATTGTATATAATTTTTACTCAAGCATCATACCATAATTTCAAAATTTTTTCTAAGTGCTAATTTATGCCATAAAATGTTCAAATGGAAGATCTCAATCCCGAATTGTATCATGCAATTTTCCATTACCGTTGTGGAGAGCCTAATGGGTAAGTAAGCCAATTTGAGACCATGGCCTTTTGTCACTGAATTCAACATTCATCCATGCAATATTTAGTCGTTTTGTCCACAGGAATTGTTTTATCTAGTGAACTAATGAAGTGAAGAGTTGATAGGAAGTCGTTAAGTTGATACAACGTTTCACTTGTTACCGTTAGATCCCGTTTCACTTGGGTTAGAAAAAACCTAGAGATTTAACTAATAAGATTTGTACACTCAAGTGAAATTAAAGTTCAAATCTTATTACCAATTTTGGTGTGTGACTGAGTGGATCTGAGATTGGATCCACTAATTGTAAAGTGTAAACCCCGAACGAAGCTCGTGTGTGCTTCAACCTTAGAATGGGAAAATCTTCTTGTCTTGATTTTATGTTCCGGATTACTTAAATAAAGAAGAAAAAGGTCCTAAAAATCGTACAGTTGAACTTTTTTTAATGTGAAGTATGCCATCCGGATGGGTGCCCTGCGGAAAACTAGCAGAGCCGACAAAGTATTGATTGTTCGCAATCAAACGCAGTAGTGACGCATTGCCCGACTGAAGTTGCACGCTAGAAAATTCAGGCTTGTGCAAGGCAAAAGTTTTTTCCTGCCGGCCCCCTTTGTGCGTCACTGGCTGTAGCAATGGGGCGCAGGGCAGATGGAACCAAATCATGAAAATTTTGTTTATGCTGCAAGACATAAAAAATGTTCAGAAATTAAAAAATAAAAGCGAAAAAGAAAAAAAAATTAGAAGAACCTTGTTGTGGGGAAGGTAAAGTGGGAGAGATTATCAGTAGGAGATCTTGGTTCAAAATCTCTCACTTACCAAAAAATAAAAAAAACCTTATCATTTTCAAGTCTTGGTTTAGTAAGATAATTGAGGAACATTTTGTAACAATAGTCTCTTTACATGTTTTGGTACCAAGGGAAACTAAAAGAGGTTATAATTTAAAAAGATTTAGGGTTAATAACACTCCGCCCCCCTCAAAGTGGGGGTTAGGAATACTTTGCCCTCCTCAATGAAAATAATTGGCTTTTTACCCACTTGAGGGTATTCTGTTTGGACTTTGGTGTATGTCAAGTATTCTATTTGAAAAAGTAAAATATTTAGATTGCTTAAATCTATTGACAATTCTACTCTCATGTTGTTATTTTGTTTTTAGTCAAATTGATCCTATAGAACTATAAGTTATAAATTATGACACCATTTATACAATAGATTAGTCCATGATATGTAGATTAGTAGGTAATATATATATATATATATATATAATATATAAAATATATGTTAACATATAAAATTCAACAATTTGGTCGGTTATCTCCATGATATATATATTTGTAGGTAATATATATATATATATATATATATATAATATGTTAACATATAAAATTCGACAATTTGGTTGGTAATGAGGAATCGGTAATTGAGTTTTCATAGTCATTCTCAAATCATTTTACCAAATTTTAGTCGAGAGTAATCGAATTTGAATATCTATTTCTAAACTATTTTACCAAATTTTAAAGTTTGGATGTCAATCTAGATATATCAATTTCCATTTGATCAATATACAATCTAGATTGGATTGGTCAATTTTTCAATTTTCAAAGTTTGAATACCTCTAAATATGTGTTGTTTTTGAAGAAAACCTCCCATGGTAAGCGTGGCTTCTATTCCTCAATAACTGTCCTTTATAAATCACTATTATTTACCATTAGGCAACAGTACAAGGGTACATAAATTTATGAACATCATAGGGGTAAAATTGTCAACATATTTAAACATCCATTTTCCTCAATAAATGTTCTTTTTAAATTTTTGTTAATTATCAACAGCACAAGGGTATGTTACTATCAATAGCATAAGGGTAAAATTGTCAAAATATTTAAGCAGTCTAATTTCTGCATTTTTCAAACAGAATGCTTGCCACAAAAACTAACAAAATACCTCAAGTGGGTAAAGTGCCTATTATTTTTATTGATGGGTTCAAAGTGTTATTACCCCCACTTTTCAGGGGACAAAGTGTTATTAACCCAAAGATTTATTAGTGGTCATTATGTTAGCTAGCTATGATTGACATAATCTCTTTCTTTTTTCTTAACACAATCGACTCATGTACAATACAGAATAAGCTTTGTCAGCATATTTTCCTGGTCAAAATTTAAATGCCCGAGCAAATGTGACAAGACTTCTCATCTTAGATCAATTTGGCATGGCCTTTGATTTGATTTGAGAAACATAATTTTTACTACTTTATAAAAAAAAAATTACGCATTAAATATTGAAATTTGGAAATAGCGAGTGAAAGAGTATAACATTAAAAAAAAAAAAAGAAAAATAATGAATACCTATAAGCTCTTCACTACTTTTCCTTGGGATGCAGAGGAACAGAACATGCCATTTTAGTGCACCCCTGTGTATGATTTCAGCCGAAGCATCATAGCTAGAAATTGCAGACTAACATTTTTATTGTTGTATATCATTTTCTTCAATGTTGGATTAAGTTTCATGGTTACCTCATGGACCGACAGCGAAGGGGAATCCGATGAAAACCAACCCTGCCAGTGTCTTTCCACCAAGAAAGCTCTCTTTGGTTCTCATTAAGCTTGTGAATTGCAAATTCTAGAGCTGATTCAAGCTCTCTAATTCTCTCTTCCTGCCTCACTTCTTGAAGTTCATGCAATCTTCTTTCGAGCTCTCTTGGAGAAACTCCGTGGTAATATTCGAGGCTACCTATCTCAGGCTGTAAAAATACTTCCCCAAAATTTGTAATCTGGCTTTCTTCGGGTGCAGAGTCTTCAACAACTATCTGCAATTATTAGGCCTTAGAAATTAAGAAGAGAAAATAGAATGTTATTTCTTCGAAATTGAGAAACTTGAAAGAGTTTTTTATTCACCGTACATTTCTGATATAGACTAGGTCTATATGTACCATGTCTCGAAAAAAAAAAAAAGAGGATCTCATGTGAACCACAATTTATTTGAGATGGTTCCTGAAGACCGTCATCAATAATAAAGGGAATTTTTTGGTACAGTACCTTTCCATGATTCTTGTCGGGGTAAATCAGCATAACTTCAGTATCCAACTGCAATTGGAGATTTTGTAATTCAGCTTCAAGTTCTGCCTCAAGCTGGTCCATCTCCACAATTTTCCCTTCTCTATTCATTTTCCCGTTACAACTGCTTGAAGTGATATCTGATCCTGAATATTCGTGTTCCCAGGAAGAAGATGGACCATCTTGGAGAGAAAAATGCTCTATAATGGCATGACTAGAATCTACTTGGAGAGAACCATGGTCTGTAATAGCATACTCAGAAACTTCTTGGGCTTTGGATGAGGTTTGAGAAGTTTCAATATTTGTACCTGCCACTGCATTTTGATGTTGCCATTTGACATTTCGGAGCAGTGTTTCAATTTGTTTGGATAACTCTACCATCTTGTTAAGTTCCATTTTACTCATAGCCATGAGATAAATTAGAGCAAATCCAACTCCCAAGCTGAAAGAGGCCTCTTTTCTGTGTTCCCCTGAAATGTTGATTGAATATGTGTAACTTGCAAAAGGGTGAGAGGGTGGTAAAAGAAAAAACCATGAGCCCCCCTAAATTGGCATGGCTTTCTCTTTATATATTAACCAACTTTATCAAATTTCCAATCTTTAAAACCATTTTGATAGTAGTGATAATGGTTATTAAATTGGCACTGTCCATTGAACATCACTCATGAAATGGGTAGGTTTGGACAACTTCCTCCATGCTAAATTGCACAAGGTGGAAAGCAAACTGGGCTCTTGCATGCCCGACTAAGTGCATATGTTTTACCATTGTAATATAAATCAAACTATTATTTAAAAAAGTGACCATTTTGATATTAGCAATGAGTAGTAGTCAAGTTTCCTAATATCAATGAAAGTATCCATAACGCATGAAAGCAACATCGTCATTCTTTAAGAGTATATACATATCATGATAAGTATCCATATTAAAATTTTTGACATGGTGTCAATAGTTTATTAGCAGTGTGACTGGATATTGAACAAGATATTACTCGATCAAATTTTCGCCAAACAGAAGTGTGAAAGACAAATAAAGTAGTCATTAGCTAATCATAACTGGTAAATTTCGAAGTAACGTATCTAAACAAATGATGTAGTTTCTACGACAAATGCTGTTAATGGGTATAATTAAGTAAACCGAGTTGATATGAGTTTGTAAAAATATGTGTTAAATCATAGTAACATGTCCAATTGCTATCATCCGATCCCATAATCAGAAGACTGCATTCAAGAGTTTGGACTGCATACCTGAAACTTCCTGGGCAGAATTAGATGATGATTTCTCGTGCAAGTACTCAAGTGCAACTTCATCGTCTGAATCTTCGTCACGAAACTCCACCCCATCAACATCCTTTCCATTTCTAGATTTTTCCGAATTGAACCAGGATGAAATAATTGACCAAGGGGAAAAACAGGTAAAGATTCTGCAGTTTTCCCTCCTTTTTCTCCGCCGACAGGTCATGATAGCGGCTGTAAAGGGGTTGTTGCTGCAACCCTTTTGGACCATTCTGGTATAGATGCCAAAAATGATTTTGATCAGAAGCGAATATTCAAGAAGATGAGACAAATTTCATGCACTTCTCGTGAATTTGTGCTCGAATTTATATCGATTAAAGAGAGACGTGGAGAATGTTTATCCCTATGTGCATTTATAGGGGAGAAAGCGACTATTGAATGTGATCATCCCGAAGTGAGGATGACAGTTCGAAGAAGTAATATTGCTGTCTGTTCAACTGCTTAAAAAGTGGAGGGAAAAGTTTAAATGGAAATGAGTGCACAATCTTCAATATGTCTCTCATTATTCAACAAAAGGATGCTTCTACGCCAACGATAATTAATAATTAATTATCTCTATAAAATAATTTAAATAATAATTATTAGGATTAATCGCACTTTATCCCCTTTAAATATGGGCAATTTCTCAATTTACACCCCAACATTTATTTTTTCACAGTTTACCCTATCCGTCAGTCCAGCTAAGCAATTGCACCGTTAAAAATTTCAAGATGCCAAAATTACCATTGGAAGAGAGCCGTTTGTTTTGGCTGACTGAAATGTCCCTCAATGAGTTATAAAAAGGGATGTTTGATGCTTTTTAGCCTATTTTTTTTTCTTTCATGCTTCCATCCAGTTGTAACATATTTTTTCTCTTTCATTTTAACAGATCCAACAGCTCCTAAAATTTTTCTTTGTCAACCAAAAGTATCATAAAAATGTCACAAAGTGCTTCAAACAACATTAAAAGATCGCCCCAAAAAATGTGTGGATGTGGTAAAGAAACACCATTGTGCACCTCTTGGATACTTGAAAATCCGGGAAGAAGATTTTACTGCTGCTCGAATTACAATGTAAGAATTTTTCATTAATAATCTGTTATTATTGTCTTTAATTTTGCTCTATACATGAATAAGTCAAAAAGAGTTTTAGACAGCTATATTTTCTTTTTATTTAGAGCTGACATGCGTGAGGGCACTTTTCATGAGTAGATAGAGGAGAGAGAAAAGATGGAGGGAAAAGTGGCTGATAGATGAGAGAGAAAAGATGACCGACAATGACAAAAGGTAGGGTACCTTTTGTCTTCTGAATTCTTTTTTTTTTTTGGTCCCATGTGTCAGATGGAGGGAAATTTCCCTCCTCCATTGTTCTAGGATAATTTTGAAAACTTTTCTTTATCCCTTTCATAAACCTAGAGATATGGGTATTTTGACTTGTTGATAGAGTGTTAATTATTGGTTATTTTATTGTTAATTTTTTCCCTTTGTCCTTGCCAAATATTGTTTAATTATTAATATTTACTTATATTTGATATTTGGACTCAATTTCAGGGAGTAGAGCAGAAAAGTATTAAAAGGGAGGGACTCTCTGGGGAAAATGAAGACTTCTAAAAACTTCACAAACATGGCCCACGTTGCTGAGAAGGAACGGACTTCCATTTCCCTTTTGCTGACTAGGAGTCCTTCTACCAAGAGAAAAGGAAATACAAGGAGTTTGGCAGAGCTTGCTTTTTGCACTTGGACTCCCAATTCATGGGGGACCACTAGAGAGGATGGTGTCATTTTTTCTTTTGGCTTTTGAAGGGAGAAACGTACAAAGGCTAGCGGAAGGCTCTTTTAGCAATAGTTTTAGTTTTTGTCTTTTGTTCCCTTTTTCATGCACGCCTACTATTTGATAATATTCCCAACGGGAGAAACACCTTTTACTTCTTGATTAATTAGTGAAAAATGATTTGACGTTCATGGATTCAATTAATTTCCGTGGAGATTTACTTATGCGGCGTGGCTAATCTCCTCACCTAGTCAAGGATCAACTCAACGGTGCAGTCCTGAATATCTGTAAGATCTAATTAGTTTTCATGCGTTCATTAATTTGTTAATATTTGCATGTTGTTTACTTGAATTTCCTTGGGATTATTTTGTTAATTGGATGTCAAGGACCCGATGTTCAATGCGACTTATTAATCTCCTGCCAAATTAGTTAATTAAATCCGTAATTGTTTGATTGATTAATATTAGTGGCAACTAACATATTTACACACTAGCGGAACGTGCAATCTAATTTAAATAATTCTCGTAACGTGTTATTGATTGGGGTTAGGTTTTTCTAGTTCTTAATGCAAGTGAGAAATTAATTCCTATGGTCGTACCTAGGAGTATTTTCTGGTTAGGGGTAATCAATGGTCGTACCTTGGTTATCAATAAATTAAGGAAAAATTGGTCGTTAGAGTTCTTCGACGACTATAACTAGCCTATTAATAAATTAAGTGAACCTCCCTTGCGTCATTGATCGGATAAGTGGACTGTATCTGAGTAGTTGTATCCTTGGCTAGAATTTATCTATTCTTGATTTAATTTTTGCCTATATTCGTGCTAGTTAATTATTTATTTTTAGTTGAATTACTTAATTGTTTTTAGTTTCATTCCGATAAAATTCCCCCTTACCAATTGGAATCTTAAAGAGACAAATATCTCCAGTCTCTGAGGAGACGACCCTACTTGCTACTGTCTACTATTTAGTAAAATTTTGTCAACTAATTAATTCTGCTATATCGAATTAAGCAAACTTTTCGGAAACATGGTGAATCAAGTAACCCATTGCACACCTAGAGTCCCTACTCCAGTACCTAGGATTAATTATTGACTGCTTTTAGTGGTAGTTAGGTTCTATTTTTATTATTGCACAGGCTCGACACCTGTCAATTTTTGGCGCCGTTATCAATTTTTGGCTCCGTTATCGGGGGTTGGCGTTAATTATTTGTTTCTTTTTAAGTTCAATTTTGTTCTAATTTTCTGATATTTTTCTAGTTTATGCCTCGTTCTTCTCGTACAGACGAATTAATTTTTGACCCTGAAGTAAAGAAGACCGCGCGTAGAACGTGCAAAGAAACCAGACAACTCAGAGAAGAGCACTCCAGTGCTGCATCAGAGACTTGAGCCAGAAGTTGGACCAGCAGATTCGTTTGGTAACACTTCGAGTGACTCGGACCAAGAGGAAGTCACCATGACAAATGCACAGACACTAAGGGAGTTGGCTGCTCCTAATTTAAATCAGCAACCTTTATGCATTACTTTCCCAAGGTTGAATGATAACACTCCATTTGAACTAAAATCTGGTCTAATTCATCTGTTGCCATCTTTCCATGGTCTACCAGGTGAGGAGCCCTACAAACACTTGCAAGAGTTTGATGTCGTTTGCAACAGTATGAAGCTCTCGAAAATCACAGAAGAGTAGATAAAAATGAGGGTCTTTCCCTTCTCTTTGAAGGACTCCGCAAAAGACTGGTTGTATTACCTACCACCAAGTAGTATCACCACGTGGGACCAGCTGAAGAAAATAATTCTTGGGCAAGTACTTTCCGGAGTCTCGATCTGCAAGCCTAAGGAAGGAGATATGCGGTATCAAACAACACCCACGCGAGTCTCTCTCTGAGTACTAGGAGAGGTTCAAGAAACTGTGCATCAAATGCCCTTAGCATCAGATAAGTGAGCAATTGCTCATCTAATATTCCTATGAGGGGCTACTTTTCAGAGATAGGAGCATAATTGATGTTGCAAGTGGAGGGGCGTTAGTGAACAAGACTCCTCGGGCAGCATGGGAGTTGATTAAGGGGATGGCTGAAAATTCACAGGAGTTTGGTTCAAGAGAGGATATTCTGACCTATAAGGTGAATAAGGTAGAAACATCCTCTATCCAACAGTAACTCTCCGAATTGACGTCTTTCGTGCGACAACTAGCTGTGGGAATTGCCTCACAAGCCAAAATATGTGAGGTATGCACTGCCGTGGGTCATTTTACGAAGATGTGTCCACTGGTTTAGGAAGAAACTGCAGAACAGGTGAACATGGCTGGTCACGCGCCCGCGCCAAGAAAGTAGTACGACCCTTACTCAAGCACCTACAATCCTAGTTAGAGAGATCATCCCAACCTCAACTATAGAGGGAACAGGCAGTCTAATTTCGTACCAAATAGGCATCAAGGGTATCAGCAGCAGTACCAACTTCGCCCACCACCACCCCCTTCGAACTCAAGTCCGTCCATGGAAGAGATGATGAAGCAATTACTTGCGAATCAACAGAAGACGGATTCAGACCTGCAAAGTATGAGAAATCAATTGAGACAACTGCAATCATTGCAAATTCAAATAAATCAAATAGCCATCACGATCAACCGTTTGGAGTCCCAGATTCAAGGGAAGTTACCATCTCAACCTGAGTTGAACCCGAAGAATGTGAGTGCAATGACCTTGAAGAGTGGCAAGGAAGTCCAAGGACCCGAACCTGTGATGCCAAAAGACAAGGACGAGGAACGAATTGAGAAAGAGTTGGAAGAGGAGGGCAGAAACAACAAAGATCAAAAGGTACTCTCGGGCCCAATCATTACAGTTAGAACTAATCCCTATCCTTTTCTCAGCAGGATAGAGAGACCAAAGAAGCAGGACAAGGAGAAAGAGGTCCTGAAGATCTTCTGCAAGGTGGAGATCAACATTCTCCTACTGAACGCGATTAAACAAGTGCTCAGATACGCAAAATTTTTGAGGGACTTGTGTGTCAACCGAAAGCGGTTGAAAGGAGATGAATGAGTTATAGTGGGAGAGAACGTGTTAGCAATCTTACAAAGGAAGCTTCAACCGAAATGCAGGGATCCAGGTATGTTCACCATTCCCTGTAGAATAGGTAATACCTTGATTAGAAAGGCCATGTTAGACCTAGGAGTTTCGATAAATGTCATGCCAAAATTCATATATGTTTCTTTGAATTTAGGCCCTTTAAAAGAGACTGGAATAATAATTCAACTGACTGACCGAACCAATGCATACCTTGACGGGTTGATTGAAGATGTTTTAGTAAAAATTAATGAATTGATTTTCCCTACTGATTTTTATATGTTTGATATGGATGATGAACATTCTCATGACCCATCACCTTTACTGTTTGGTAGACCCTTTTTGAGCGCAATCCGAACCAAAATTGATGTTAATTAGGGTACCCTGTCTATAGAATTTGATGGTGA